GTAATAAAACATCATCATCATTATTGCACCAAACATAAGAATCATACAAGTTTCCATCTCTAAACCTCAATGGGCTATAGTTTTACTTCAACAATTTTTCGACACTTTGTATGTACAAACTATAGCATTATGAGTACTAGTTTTTTCCTTTATTACTTCACTCAATTGCTACCCACTTACATTTGAAGAAGATTATTCACAGTAACCGAAACAGAATTCGTTCGCTGCAAATCCTGCACAATTCAATTCAAACCAATCCATCAAACCCGCCCTCCTTTTCTACTAACTTTTCAAGGTAACAGAAAAAAGAACTTCAATAAGCTATATGGAACAATACCCGCAATATTAGTTCATCAGGAACATGGGGAAGCACTTCGCGAACGGTTTCAGCCATCGCAAGTATATTTGATAAATCATCATCTGAAACACGTGGAGGAGTCCTAATGACTGAACCACCACCATGTCCTCGATGTCTTATGGTACTAGGAGAAGGATTGTTTGAAGTAGATGTGCTAGCAGCCTGCGAGGGATTTATAGGCCACAGGTTCCATGCAGTGTCTTCAAGGGCAGTCTGAGCATAAGTTTCCCCAACGGCTGCAAGATGTCTCATCATCATCTGGACTCTTCCCAACCCCACGGATCTCATACCTGTAGATGGACCAGCCCCATCGAATCCCAACCAACCTGAATCTGGTCCTGTCCCCCTGTATGCCATATGAAATTAGAAAACATCCAATAGATTTACATTTATTACGATATTCAGAAGTGGTGTCGACTCTGAAATCTAAAATCGAGCCAGTTATTATAAATAAGAAAAAGAATCAAACCAAAGGGCCTTTGGTCCAGCGGTATCTCTTGCCTCCTAGGAGGTCAGGGGTTCAAACCTCATCAATAGTGAGAAGGGTGTGTGAGTTTATTTGTTGCATTTGCCGTATATAATATATTATATACTTCAAAAAAGAGAGAATCAGGGGAGTTATTAGACAAAGACAGACGTTTCTCAATTTGAGTGCATAAAATACGTGAATGGTATACGCCATTCCACAAATATATTGACACCTTGAACGGGCCAATATAGCTTCATGGATATTAACAACTGATGGTATCCAAAATACTTAAAAAGAAGCAGGCATAACATACCAACTACACACGAAATTGGAAAAGTTGGTATCGGGCTCCTACCTTACAAATATGGGTATGCAAAGAAATTGGAAGAGAAGACAAATCTAGCAGAGAGACAAACCTCCAATCATCACGTTCTAAAGGGGTCTGAATTTGATTTGGAATTACACCTGTAGGCAGGGTATGACCAGGAACATTTTGCCGTTCAAGTCTAGAGCTTAACTGACGGGCGAGTTGTTCATCACTTGAAACATCTCCGGAACGAGGTACATCATTTCCTTCAGGTGTGCCAACAAAGAGGGGTTTTCGACAAGTGGGGCAGGAATAATTGTCACTTAGACCTTGGTCTAACCTGGCATTGACATGCCACCTCAGCAATATCAGCATAATTAATCATTGCATACCCTTATAGCAACTGTAACAAAAAAAAATATGAAATTGTACCAAGATCTAAGGCATGAAAGGTGAAAAAGATGATTACAGGAGAGCTTCTTAGCCTTAGCCATTGGTTCCTGAATTTACCCACCATGAGAAAATGCTTGCTGACAGAGATATTGAATAGAATTTTAGATATGACAACAAAACAAAATTAAATGATCACCCGGCAAATGGCACATTCATCATCATAAGCTTGTATCTCTTCAGATGTTGCATCAGGGAGAGCCCCATGAAGGGTTCCCAAGGCTATCCTTAACTTAATAAACCCTCTGGTACGCTTCAGAACTGCACTTAACAAGGCCTGCCTATGAAAAAAATTAATATAGGCAAAAAATAGCCTGCTATTAGTTTCTTGGGAGGGGGATAAACACATAAAAATGGAGAGTAAAATTGCAACACATGAAAGCATATTAAAGGACTAACACGTATATTTAGGAAAAGCACTGCATCTACAAGATGGAATGTCATGCCATGAAGCCGCCAAATATGCACATAATGACCAAGAGCCATTAAAAAGGTCATAATATCGAGGAAAAATCCCAGATTCCGTAATATCACACTCTTCCATTCCCACAGTGAACCTGCACATACACATCATTTCTAAAGTAAGAAAGCGAGATATCAGACTTAGGCCGCGTGAAAAATACAAATGCTACCAAACAGTAGGTAAATCTAATAGATACATGTACAGTTTTAGCGATATGGACACATCACACCCAAAACCTAGAAACAAGACAGTCAAAGAAGGCTAGAACATTATCCAAGTACATTTTTATGACCAAAGCCACAACTTCAAATCAAGTCAAAACAGCACATATGCATGAGAATTTTGCCACCGCAAATAAATAGACCGACTGATTAAGCAGATTTGCATGTCTATGGATGAGAAGTTGAGAACCATATGCTACATCTACAATAGCACGACACTCGACTGAACTGGTAATTTCATGTCCCACAGAAGCAGCCCAAACTCTATAAACGACATAAAACCATCATAAAATAAGTCCCATATCATTTTGCCAAATAGTAGAATAATAAAATGAGTGTCTTGCCTGCTGCTGACATATCCAAAAGCTTCGTTATTTTGGAATTTGTGGTGTTGCCTGCTGAGTGATGAAGCCATATATCAAGCAGCTGAAATCCATGAACCAAGATGGCCTAAAAGCAATACAACGTAGACCCAAAACTTATCAGCCACATTGCGAAAATCTAGCTGATAAACGGAAAAAAAGTACTATAAATGTGGATGGAATATGAAGAGAAGATACAGTCACTATACCTGTAGTGTTTCAAAAGCAATACTAAGTGGCTCAAAGAATAATAACAAAAATATAGATGGTGCAAAATTAATAGGGGATGGCGCTGCTATAATTGCTTCAGCGGGTATCGTTTGGTAGATCAGTAGACACATCCTTATCCTGCAAATACGAGTAAAGAATATAGGAGATAACTTAACATGGAAATGCTAAAAAAGCTGAGTTGATGGTGACATCAACCAACCAAGAAGATAAACCAAATTATCCCAGTATCCCGGGTGGGGTTCTTCGGGAAGGGGGGGTGTACCCAGACCTGACCTCTACCTCAAGGTGGAGAGAGCGGCTGTTTCATCCCCGGCATGTGAAAAGTGTGAGCAAAAAAAACAGATGACCTTGAGACCAAAAAGAAAGAAGCTAAATGTGTATATCATAAGGTTGTAAAATCACGTCGTTCAAATACTCATGGGTTATGTCCACACAAGAGAAGCATTAATCATTTGATTCCTGCTTCTGGCCAAACTTTTACAGCTAAAGGTCTCAACCATCTATTCCTTCAGACTGCATGTCAAGTGCAAATATTTTGGAAGCTTATAATTTGATTTTAATTATGAGTTTATCACATGAACTTCTCCACTAAAAACACAAGACATGAAGTGTGAAAGATAGCATTCACTATCAATCAACAATTTAGCCGAAAGAGTTCCTGAAAAAAAGAATCAATTAATCAAATGAATTTCACTTTCAATTCTTAAATAATTTTTGTTCCAGGGGGGTGAGAGGTATCAATGCAAATGATTTCTGTAGCAGATGACAAACATTAGCTAGCCCGAATCTTACGAATATGGACATGACAATCCCAATTCATTTGCAGCCAAGAGATGATCCTAAGGGTATAGGTCCACAAAAGATTCCCCACCAGGACAAGTAATACAGTTGTGTCATTTCCTTCTGTACTAAAAGACCTAGCTTCCTGTGCAGAGCTACCAAATGAATTTAAAAAATGGCTGATCAAATATAGAAGTATGCCAAGCCCAGAATGTGTTACTCAAGGAAATGCCATCCCTGATGCTCAAATTACCATTCATGTGTTATCTTGGCACAAAGACTAGTAAATACATTAACAACTATGATCCATAACTCTAGATGCCTTTTATAATATGAAGTCATAGAATAGTGTAAACAGAAATTAGGAACTCATTAAGATTTAAGGTCGAGCAAATACCAGACTGCGTCGACAGTGACAACCAGCAATAAAACACAATATACACGGAAGTAAGTCCAGGGAGTTGCAGAAGGAGATGCATTCAACCGTTCAAGGCGATCCCTGGCTAAAGCTTGAAACATCTGTAGAGAATGAACAATAAAAGCCATAAAAATTTGCCAATTCTTCATCCCCACAAATAAACTCCAAAATCAGTGGAATAGTACCTTCAAAGAGCATAGTACAGTCAACCATGTTGACCACAATCCTGCTTGGACTACTGTTTGCGGGATTACCAATGGAAGAAATGTTCCCTACAAGGACAAGACCAATAGTAAATCAGCGGTCATAGATTACTTAGCACTTTATGTTGATGACATTAAAATTTCCTTCTCCATGACAGTAAGCCACATGCACAAAAAGGTAAAGATGAGATGAGGAAATCCAAAAATCCACATAAAGAATAACCAGACGTCCCTGACTAGGCTGCACCACTCCAACAAACATATGAGTAGCAGCAGCAGTAATCATAATAGCAACAACAATCCTAAACAATAAATAATTATCATTGTCATAACAACAACAAAGGTTTAAAAAATAAGTTTAGTAGGTAAAAACTGAGAAATACCTACAAGAATCACTAAGTAAGCTATCTCAGAAGAATGTAAGGTTTATTTGTTGACAAAGTTTGTAAATTATGGTTTCCTTGTATGTATGACATTTTGCGTTATGAATATGCAAAATTTTCAACAACACTTGCACGCCCTATACACTCTCTATCCCTGAAAGAATGATAAGTCTCTTCCCTGCATGTCATGAATGATGCATTTTCTAATCTGGAAAGACTCCTAACAGAAAAATATAAGAAAAAGAAACTACTCTGCTGCTTAAAAATAATGACTGTTGACCACATATTTGTGATCTCTTATAGATTATCCGCCAACCAAAAATTTGATAACAAATTGACCATTATATCACTACAAGCCAAAAGCTACATGCAAAAAGGTAGCTCCGGATTTTGGTCGTCATTCAATACGGTCTCTTAATCTTGTTTAAAATAATATTAGGCAACCATTTGCACTGTTTGTCTTGACACATCAGCTTGTCACAAATAAACTAAACATCATATCTGTCCAGAAGGACAAGTTGGTGGCCATTTGGTCATCATGGTCATAATAAGCTACATATATACATCATATAGATATGAAGCCAAAGATCTTAATCATAATCTACTTCACAAAACACTTCTGCCTACCTTGTAGATAACGTAATTAACTAGTCGCTCCACCAATTTCCGAGATTCTGTTGCATGCAGCTCAACAAAAAATATTGTCTGCATGAAGGAAATACAGCATCAAAAAGATCAAGACAAAGTATATGACAAACAGAACATTATGGGGGGTCAAAGTCCAAGAGATGTAAGTAAATATCTACTAGCGCCTACAATCTGAGTTCGAAGACAATCTATGACTTCTTTTAGATACTAATTAGATTCAGTGGCTACAAATAGATAAATACAGACACGTTTCTATGTGTATTTATGCATATATAAGATATAGAAAACATGAATACCTTAAGAGACAAGACGATCAGTATAAAAACGTTGAGGACAAAATTGACCACCAATGCAATTGTGGTATAGGAATCCAACAACAGTTCCAGTACACGGCTAGCAACTCCAGGGTCAAGAAGATTTTCACCCATCAAACCATCTGATTTTAGCTTCATAAATGAAAGTTCTGTCCAATATCGAAGCCCTATAAAGCTCAACATTGTACAGACTGCCGAAATTGATAAATAGCCCACACCCATGGGATACAAAGAAAATTTCATTAGGGCAATAAAAGTTCCAGGATTTCATGAGATAAAAATATGCATGACCTCCCTTGCCCAATTAACTGGTCACTGTGCAAAATTTATGGAGAAGCCCACAAACTATAACTTAGTTTGTACACCTCCCCAAAGGCACCCTTCAAGGTATCTCCTGGTCTCAGATCTCAATATAAGTGACCTGTATCATAATATTTCAAAATTAGTAACTGATACAGCAAAAAGGTACCATAGCATACTTCTAGTAAACATCATGATTCTCTAACTGATTATCCTCTGTTGCTCTCTACCACATGGCTAGAAGCTATGCCAACTAGAATCAAATCAATGTGGACTCGTGTCCCTACCATTCACTTATCCCATTCGGAAAGATATTGCACATTTCATTTAGCCATACTACATTGCTATTGCACTCTATATGGTCTAGAAGTTTGGCTCCCCAACATCTAGTTCTCTTTGGTGCACCAACCTACACAATCACCTATTTTTTCACATCATCCTCATTCTGGCAGGTATGTGATGGTCCATAGAGGAGCACGAAGATAAAGATTGTATGCAAGGATCACACTTGGCAAGACAATCACTCAAGGCAGGAAAAATGTGTCTTGTCTTTTTTCGCATTTGGTTAAGTAGATCAAATCTCCATGGAAAGTAGCCATGTTCAGCCAAACCATAAGCTAGCTTGTTTTTGAGCTTATTGATGGTATATGTGATTTATATACCTTAATTTTTTTTTCTAAAGTAATAAGTATTTGAAGAAAACTGAAAACCATCAATCTCCTTCCCCTTTCCATCCCCAAAAAAAGGAGCAAAGTTGACCTACTACCCCAAAAACAATTCCATTATACGCTGGGAACAAAAGGTGACAAGAGATTTCAAGCTGATCAAACTAAGTGAAACGTATTCAAAATTGAATAGAGAAGTGAAAATAAATGCTTGGAAAGCAACCAGGCAACACAGTGTCGAGTACAAATGTCATTCTGGATCCAATTCGAAAAGTCAAACAAGAGCCTAGAAACCCTAGAATTCCCTATTAATCAAAGAAATTAAATAAAAACCAAGAAACGAAGAAATTAAGATCATATACACAAGTCCTTACATACAAATCGTGTAAGTAGAGAAGAAGAAACAGATAATCAGAAAGCACGTAAATTGATGAGCTGATTGCATCTAGATACTACGATATGAATGATGATGAAATCAGGTAGAGAATGAAATCGTAATGAATACCGATCGAAGACGAAGATGTGAAGTCTTGGGCGAAAATTTCTCCGATCTTGGCCTGGCGCAGATTAGAGAGAGAGAAAATTGGGCAAATTTTGCGGGAAAGCTAAGAGAAGAAAATATAAATAAAAGAAAGGGAAAAAGGTTGATTAAATTTGCAAGTGATATCATCTTCTTGTTCTTGGGGGTCTGTGGTGCCCTTTTTTGTCCTTACTTCCCATTGTAAAATCGGAGATATGCTCAAATCATCTCAAATTAATAAATTATATATATATATATATATATATATATATATATATATATATATATATTTCCAACCCATTTTTTATTGTAATTATCCATTATCTATACTATATTATAAAGCATTTGATAAAAACTCTTAAAAAATATTTTTTATATATAAAGTGATGTATATTGATGTATATTTCTTAAAATTCAAGATTACATGTAAATTGTACAGACGTACAATTTATTAAGCTCTATATTTGAATTCGTGTAACTAACTGTAGATAGATATAATCAAATACAAGATAAAATTCTCATTTTAAATATGTCTAAAACATAATTAAAATAATTATTGAGTTCTAACATAATATTTAATTATATTCTTTATAAAAACTATATTATTAAACCAAAAACAGACCACTTCGTCATTAAACCTAAATTAAATTATAATAAAAAAAATGAATTTAAAATATTACACAAAAAATGAGAAGTTTTATATTTTTATGATATCTTCAAATTCATATTTAAAAAACAATATTATTTGTTCAAAACCACATAAATTCATATTATAATATCGACAGAGACCAAAAAATTAAAACGAAACATTAAAATCGAGATATATCTTACTGCATTACTCGAATACCCTTCTAGTATTACTAGTTGTGTACCCGCACAATGCGCCAGGAGCCGTGAATTTTAACGATTTTGAAGTTTCACTGGTTTTATTAGAGAAGATTTAACGATGATATAAGTTACATTTGATCTTTACATATTAATACAATTTGTATAAATAAGAGTTATGGTTTCAATTACAGTCTATCGATGAAAAAAAATTGTATGACGGTTTAAAATCCAATATATTTAAAATCCAACATATTTGAATGACTCCACAAATGTGTTCGATCTACACCAAGAGCAAAAAATCAAGAAATCGAGAGCGGAACCGAGAGTTTTAGAGCAATTAAATGGAAGATGAATGAATGATTTACGGTGAATATCATTTTGAATCTCACATTGGGGGGTGGGAAGAAGACATAGCGGTATGAGAGGGTGAAGACATTAGTGAAATGTGTCAAAAGTATCTTGGGAACATGGAAATAAAAGGTAATAATGTCCATAGGTAATTTGTATTGTATGTTATTTTAATTGTAGATTAAGAGATTTTAAGATTAAATGCATAAAGTGGTAGTACTTAATGCATTGCGAATAATTTTTAAGACTTTTAAGTCTTTATGCATAAATGTATAGTACTCTGTGCATTAAAAATTATTTTTAAGACTTTTAACAAATCTGATTTATAAAGTAGTATAGATAAAACTATTGTATAAATTTATTACCCCGATATTATTTTTAAGAAGAGATATATAAAATATTAATAATTCAACTTTATTAGTGAAAATGAATAAAAATTAACTTCACTATCGATACATTTAAATTTTTAGAGAATTCTTTAAACTTGATTTTTTTTTTTTTTTGGTTTTCTTTACTGTAAAGAACAACACAGAAAAATCTGTTTGAGCAAAATAGATAACAAAATTCTCATTTTCTCTATTTTAGAGAATTTCCATATTTGTTTTTCTATTTTAAAAGATAATTTAATACAGCTATTAGAACAATTTTTTCTCAAATCTTCAAAAAATTTAAAATAACATAGTTGTTGATTTTTTTTCCTGCTTTTGCTCTTTGTTTTTATTATCGTTGCGTTTCCTGTTACCAAAAAAGGTTGAGGCTAATGAGAGTATTTATTATTCGTTGATGCCTATTATTTACATCAATTTAGGTTCACTATAAAATCGTCATATTTGACAAATATTTTGTATAGTTACTTTGAATTTAGACAACATTCATGGTTCTAAAAAGAAAGTTGACTCTCAAAGGACGGCCGCATGTTATAAAGACGTTTTAGTGAGCATACGTAAATTGACTTTTATGTACTTGATCTGATTTAATATAATTTTTTGGTATTTATATCTGACATTTTACGAAATGGTTGATTACTATTTTTGTATGACCAGGGAATATGTAAATTTCAAACATGCATATATTACTCTAAGTTATTTACATGTTACCATCTACTCTTTTTAATTAACATAGATATCCAACACGCTATGCAAGCCGACTAATCACAGAACGATCATTTGCTTTACAGGTAGCCGGGAGTCACCACATTTGAATCTTCATAGCCACAAGGGGATTTTTATTCTTCATTTGATTTGAACCTGAGACCTCCAGTCACTTTTAACTCTTGGAGTCAAACTCAAATCAATCACGCATCACCATTGTGGTTATGTTACCATATACTTAGAGACAACAACGTAGGGAATATGAAAAAAATGTCATATTCTTATATTAACACGTCATTTTTTTCATATGTTATATATATATATATATATATATATATATATATATATATATATGTATGCAAGATACTGATCCCAACCAGTTGTTGTTTTATTCAGCTTTTGCGTGTAATTGTCTTGCACGGAAAGCAAGCACATTGTTTTCGTTCTTTAAAAACCGTAAAGTTATGTTACATAACAACTTTCGTAATATATTAAAAACAGTACCATGATAAACAAGTATTAATATTTAAAGACGAATAAAACAAAAACGCGAGGACTAGAAAGCACTTTTCCAAAATTAAGTTAAGCTTATTGGTGAAATTGTTATATTATATTTGTTAGAGAAAAGCCAATTTGACAACTAGATCAGGAGATGTTTTTATTTTTGTAACATATTGGTTGTAAAATAATAATCACGTGGGCGGTGGATAAGTATGTTTAAAAATTGACTTATGACCATATTAGTCAATTTTATATATAAATAATTATATATATATATGAGTTATTATGCAACTATTTACATTTGTACAATTAATAAAACTCAATCTCAACCGTTTATTTAATTTATTGAATATGTGATTTTTCATAAAAATTTTGATTGTTTCCCAATATATGTTATTGATCGTTTATCTTTCATAAATATTCAAATCATAATAAATGAACTCTCATCATTTTCATAAATATCTCAATTGATTGATTGCATTGATTGTACAAATATGATGAGTTGTACTTGAAACATTCTCTCTCTCTCTCTCTCTCTCTCTCTATATATATATATATATATATATATTGTTGATAGAAATGAAAAGAGTATTTATATGAAAACTGTATAAAATGTTAGATGTTTGATTGCAGGAAACATGTATGTTTATAAAGTGATCACAATTTAATATAATGATGATGTAAGTGCACGTTAGTCATTATGATCGTTTTTAAATAATAAAGTGGTCAAAATATCGATATCGTGTCAACTAGGATTTGACTTCAGAGTTTCCAGTACGAGGTCGAGAATACAATGAGTTTAGCCATAAAAGAATAAATATTTGTTTGAGTGAGTTTGGTGATTTTTCACAAAATCATGCACCTACGTAATTATGAAGTACTTTCTCAAATCTTTCTAGCATCACCTAATTAAGCCGTATTTCAGAATCCGCCAATATCTAAGCCTAAGATTTAATATTAACACTTTTTAAGTGATCGGCTAGTTCGTGTTGAGTTAAATCTTCAAATCGAATAATCAAGTCAAAAAGTTAGCAACAATGACAATACCTAAGTGTTTTGCACCAATCTTAAGTTTGACCCACACCCAAAAGTTAACTCAAAATGAGATTATCAGTTTAGATTTAATACAAAATAAAAGTGATGGGTTAGAGTTGATACAAAATAAAAGTGATGGGTTAGAGTTGATACAAAAAAGAAGATGATGGGTTCAAGTTGATATAAAATGAAAGTTATGGGTCGAATCTGTCAACTACTACAAACGTAGGGAATGCATTGGGACGGTTACATAATGCATGGCTTGATTTGATACAAAATGGAAGTAGTGGGTACAAGTTTCCAACCATTCCAAAACTTAAAGGGAACTTTTGGCTAATTTTCATTCCCCGCGAAATCATGCTGTCCTTCCATAGAAGGTTTATTAAATTCCACCGCCGTGGACGGTGGGCATTGCCAACTTTCAGAACCTTCTTCTCCGAGCAATCTCTTGTCAAAACCAGAGGAGGATATAAAGACAAGTGAGGTATTGATCATTGTATTGTTTGAAGTTCCTTTGCCAAATCGCTCCAGTTTTTGAAGCCCTGGAAGAAAGGATGGGATGACAAGAAACAGTTTTTCATCTATGTTAGGAACAGTATGTGGTAGATACGTTGCTCATTAAACTCGCCGACTCTTCAATTTCAATGGCGATACAAACCGACGTTTGGTTTCATCAGGTTTTCCTATCATCCTCAATGTTCTATTCATCTGTTTGTATAGCGTTTATAATACGTAGATAAAGTACGATTGATACTTTGATATATAGATTTAAATCTGTCGTCAATAAGAACATTTGTAGGTTGATATATTTAAAGATCTCGCAAATGGCAATTTGTTTTTGGATCAGTTAGAGGCTAATTGAAATTTCGCTTAATTATTCATACACAATTGTTTACATTATATCTTTTGTAATTAAGTGTTTGATTTTCACCTACGATTAATTAAATATTTCAGAAGCGACCTATTTTTAATCACTCTTCATCATCTTTGTCAATCTTCAATCTACCAACATTCGCTCTTATTAGACGCAAACCTTATGTTCGACGAAATGCCTCAATAAACCTTGTAAACCAAACCCGTTCTAGGCATCTTAAGCGACCTAATCAAGTCGTTTTATTTCATCGTGCTCATCTTGTACACGACCTACTCAAGTCGCTATATGTTGGTGATTTTAGTGCCATCAAGCCATTTAGTATGATCGGGATTAATGTGAAACAAGCCGAAGTTAGACTTAGCTATAATTGGACTCCGGAGGTGCGGAGTGCACGTTCGGATAAACTAAGTTGATCTCGGGCAAGGGGGGTCGGGGGGCAGCACCCCTGGAGGGGTTCAAAGGGGCAGCGCCCCTGGCGGCGGTCCTGAAAACTCAACCGTGTATGAGAAATGGATCCCAACTATCGAACAGTCGCGTCTGTTGGAAAGAGACACATCTCCCGCCAAATTAACCGACTTAACTGCCGGTGAGTCGGTGACTATATATACGATTTCGATTCATTGCAGGGGGACGATATCTTTTGCATACTGTTACTCTACCAATTTGTCTCTTAAGGTACATAAACAAACAAGAAAATTATGTGTTTGATGTTGGATTTTGCCTGAAATCCATATGGTTGTTCTTGGAGTATCCCAAATTTTATTTCGTGGTAGCCTGGGCTATAGGGTCGAAATTACAGATTTTGGGAAGTGTTTAATACATGATCGTTGAATTATCCAAGTATATTGATATTCTGTTTCCAAAGATTCTAACACTATCATCCTGGGCGCTCAGCTCAGTACATGCGACCATATAAGCTATCTGCTATGGGCATTCTCTTCCTCATATTCACCCAGTATGTGACCTAGTCAATTAAGTCATGCTCATTTATGCGACCTCGAAAGTGACCTTCCCAAGTCGCTTTTAACTCACTATTTGCAATTTTCTTTACCTTTTAGATGAGTGATACACCATGCACAACTAGATCCACAAAGCGCTCGCATATTCATCAGATCACTCACACTTTGTTGCAATGTCCACATTGGAGTTGCAAACATTGTCACGTGAAACAACTGAATCATTGCCTTTCAGGTTGCCACGAAAATCTTGTTCATGGGGCCTATCACCTATGCCCAATCGGTCATCCCTGCCACCATAGGGAAGTCATAGAATTCATGTATTACTGGTATAAACGATGCCACTCACATTCTAATTTCTAAAACAGGTTTTCTCTAGTTCTCATACTAAAGCCTCAAGAACAACAAGCAATTTGAGGCATTATCTATTCTTCTGGTTATTATCTGTCAAAAAAGTGTCCCAAGTAGCATCCACAATGGTAAGGTTTTTCATGAGAGCTTTTTCGAATAAAGTGGGTCCCAATGCTTAGGTGGCTTAATAAAACGACTTACTGAAAACTTGTATATTTACAAGCAGAAATAAGTTTTTGTTGCAAAGATGTGAGGTGTCCAAAAGCTTCTGGATAAGCTTCCATTGTGGATGCAATTGTGTCTATTCAAAATGTGAAATACAGTAGCAGATCAGATGATTTTAGGTTGTAAAAAGGACCCCTTATTCTTCTGACCTCGTATTGGAACTTCCAGTTTGGGTCACATTCTAGCTCTTATATGTGAAACTCAAATAAACTATTTGGATTAGTGTTCGTTTCCTGGCCATAATTTTATGTGGAAGGATGCATGCCAGTTTTCAATATTCGTAGAGTTGGATAAACATCCAATTGGATCTGGATGTTCTTATAGATCAAATGGAGGTTTTCAATAGCAGCTCCCCCAAGGTAGGATAGTTATGTAATGTGATTTTGTATCTTATGAATATATGAGTAGGAGTTTGATGCATTGAAAGTTAGGATAAAGAAAAATATAAGCAACCTACATATAAATGAGAAAATGTATATGCTACAAAACCTTTCAAATATATAGAGTTCTGTTTAGCTTTGGGCTACGTTATGTATTAAACCATTCAAATTTCTAGGTGGTCGGTCGTATGAGTTATGTTAGTATGCCCAATAACTAAGGACAAACAGACACCAGGTAATTAGGCCTTTAGCCCAATTCTAAGGGCTAATAAGTTCAATCAAGGAGGGCCCAAAAGGCAGGGAAAGACGTACAGAGGCCCAGGTCCCCAGAGGAGCTGTCACCAACAAGAACAATCAAATCAACTGACAACTCGCATGGCCAAGGACAAGCTGTCAAGCTTTGAACATCAAATGGGCCTTGGTTGGGGGATAGGGATAGGGATAGGAAGGATACAACCCATTGTACAAACCCAAATAGGATTTCATGCTGATCTATCTTAATTCTTAAACTGTTTTTAGAGCAGGTTTACACATATATTCGTCTATCATAAAATAAGTGTCTACGGTACTAGTTTAGTATGTTCCAAAATAAGTGTTCACTTTATCTATTTTCCTATTCTACCTTTAGTTATGTGTTTGGAGAAAACTTTCCTCTTTATAATTAAGGGTAAAGTTGTATTTTTTATTAATTAAAAAAATATAATAACATCTCTTAAAACTATGTGCCTTTTCTGTTGTGAAATTTTATTTTAGGAGAGGGAGTATTAATCAAGGTGGTAAAAAGAATCAAATTTGTTTGTTGGTTTTTTAAGGATGTTGGTTTTTATTAAAACATATTAACTAATATATACGATAAATAAACTCATATATAATTGTCTTTGACCTCTAAATAAAAGAGGTGGTGTTACTAGGTACTTGTAGACGAAGACCTTTTGGTAGTGTTTTGTTTATTTGTGTAGCTTAAGTCGCACATATTGAATACAAAAAAGTGAAGGAACAGCAACCACATACCATTGGCTTGTTAGTAATAGTGGGCATAAATTCTGGAACAGTGACGTAGAGGGTTAGTAATAGTGGGCATAAATTCTGGAATAGTGACGTAGAGGGCTAACTCGTGGTGTCCAAGCATCCCCTACCCTTAAGATTAGAAAATAGAACAAGATTAAAAGCATAAAATAATGGTCCTACTCCTACATGGAATTTCATTACTGGAAACAATTCAAGCGCATGAAGAAGATCAGAGCCACAATTGTATATGTGAAGAGGGATTGGCAAAGTGGTTTCTTGGTCCATTTTGTTTTTTTGGCTTTTTTTTCTTTAAAAAATTGTAAAGCTAATGGGTAATGGCTATCCATCCATGCATTCCTTGTTACCTAGTATGTGGTGGACCATCATTGATCTTTGCTCTTTCTTGTTTTACTGCAAAATTCACCTTTTATTTTCATTTCCCGCTGATTTTATTCTTACATATTTTAATTATGTTTTTTTTGATATTGTTACAAGAAAAACTAAATGATTTTTGTTTTGGTAAAAAAGGACTAAATCCTGAGTTTTTAAGTTTAAGGACAAACCGTACTCTAGATGTCATGAGTCTAAATAGATAGCGTGTATTAAGTAGCAAAAAGTGGCTACAAAATGTTTGTCTAATTTACGTGGAAGGTTGTGGCTAAAAGTCGTGTGGGTGACGTTGAAAGCCAAAGGACCACTTCCATTAATGGCTTTGGTTCATCTAAACTATTATATGATAACGATGGTCATTAAAACTACAACCACAACAAGGTTCAAAGTTTTGCCTTCTCATTCAAACATGAGCCATTTTTCAACCTGTTTTTCGCGTCTATTATGGGTCTCTTTTCTTCTAAACATATTTTATTCTATTCGTGTCGACAGGTTTAAAAGCAAAGACTTGATCCCAAAAAAGATGTAGAAATTCAAATTATATTTGTTTTGTTTAATTTCCGACAAAAAATGAGGATTCGAACCATCGACGTCCTTATATATCATATGGTTCAAACATTGCCAAACTAAATGTTTGATGACCGGGTACTCGTTATTACATGTACGAACATTCGGCCATCTCCTTAAATTCTTGGAGAAAATACAAATGTATACACGGTCACTTTCTCCTCCCTTTTGCTTTCCTATTATTGAAGCAGAGACCATAAAAATGGCAGAATTTTGCACACACCCCCCACACTCCTTACCAAAATCTTCATCTTCACCACCATCACCATGCATATTACACTTCTTCAACCGCGCCAGACCATGAGCTACCACCACTCGAACCCCCTTGCGATTCTTGACATTTTGTTGTCACCTCCGCCACCACAAGTTTAGTAAGAAACAACCCCGCCACGAAAGCCGACACCATAAGCATAGTGAAAACCGCACTCCAGCTACTAGTTGAAATGTAACCCGTTAGCACTGGTCCAATCGCAGCACCAATCGATCCTGTCCCATCGATGATTGCGGTGACTGTCGCAAGTGCCTTCGAGTTTCCCCTAAGAGACTGATGGGTTCCTAGATCAGCGGAAACTGCTGTTGTAATGAGAGCGTACGGCCCGTTAACAAACATCCCTGTGGCTAGCATGAGGATGATGTTTATAGGCATGGATACATGTCCATAACTCCGATACAGGTATAACACTGGAATAGCGCAGTACATGAAGCTTGCTGCTGTAATGGCACGAGCATTTAGCTTGTCGGAAATGTGACCAGCTAGGATTCCTCCAACCACACCCCCCACATCAAACAACGTAGACAAGTTCCCGGCAGCCTCATTGGATAAGTACTCGCCATTTATAGCTGCAGAGTTCAGAAAACGATTAGATCAACCCAGATCACTCGAAACAACTGGAACCATGGTGGAAAGCTACCGATAACACGTACCTGTATGACTTATGTAGAACGGAAGCCAATAGAGGAATGTATAAGCAACCAATTTTGCGAAAAAGAGACATAAGGCAAAAGGAGCCACCCCGGGAATTCTCCAAGCTTCGAGAAATCCGACAGGCGCTCCTTTCTCATTATCAATCTTTGGACTCAATAGATGCTCGGTTAGTCCCTTCTTAGGCAGTCCCGATTCATCTTCATCTCTATCAACTCCCACCGATTCAGGATCAACCGGCAAGAACATAAAAACCACCACACCAACAAGAGCAATCATCAAACCAGGAACCACCATAGACCAACCCCAGCCGTACTTCAAGAAATATGAAGCGGTCAACGAGCCTGCAATATTTCCTACGGAGGTGTGGGCATTCCAGATACCCATTATAAGCCCTCTCTTACTCTTCCCAAACCAATTCCCGACGACTGCAACTACCGAAGGCCATCCCGTAGATTGAAACAAGCCAGCGATCATTTGAACTATCAAGTAGTAGTAGAACACATGAATGTTGGCCCAGTACCCAAAACCGAATAATGAGGTAAATAAACCAGTCCCCACCATTCCGATCGTCAAAAAGATCCTTAGGTTCATTCTATCGCCTATATGGCCCGAGCAGAACATGCCCACTGCATAAACGAATAGAAAAGCCAGGTCAAGATCTCCGAGCAATCCAGTGCCATTTGCACCATCGAAGGGAGCCCAACCGTTTCCTAGAACCCATGAAAGTGCATTGGATCTTCTCAAAAAGGAGACCGATTGCAGGGTCCCATCTGGGGTTTGAGGATCGAGAGCACTTTTGATAATGCTGGTGGTTTTACGAGAAGCATGGTAACTTGCGTATGCTAGGAACGTAACGATTAGAACAATGGCTTGGTGGGTTTTGAATGAAACATTTGATTTCTTGGTGCATTCTATGAATCTGATTCCTGGGGGTTTAGGGTTTCTTCTATCCAAATCGCGTCCTGGTTCTGAAATGGAACCCATCGCCGAATTACTACTTTCCGATCTTCAACTTCCTTTTCCTCCTTGCGTTATCAAGAAAACCCAGCTGAAGATCAAACACAAAATTAGGTAAGAAAAGAACAATCGATCCGACTCAACCCAAATAGGATAATAGAGATAGAATTAGAACCCCAGTGTAGGCTATTATATTAATAGATACAAGACAAAAGGCCAAAAAAAGTTATTCGATAAATCAAAAATTATTCCTCATATCCTTAAAACTCTAAACCGATCTAATCAACAACGTCAGTAGAACCAAAAAGAATCATGGTAATTTAACAGCAAAATCTATGGAGATCTTGCACCGGGAGCCAAAAAAAAAACCCAGAAATGTTCTTGGAAAGTTCTCCAATTTCTGGAAGTTGACAAATCCGATGAACATCAACCAAAGTTGGAACCAGAATAATTACCCAAAAAACCAGTTCTCTCCAGATCAAACAAATAAAATTACATTTACTCAGCTTTGGAGTTTCCGAACAATCTCTATTTACCAGAATCCGTAAATGAAGAACTGATACGAAGAGGCTCTTCAAATTGAACGAATCTAAAGGTAATCCAACATGAATAGATTAATTAAAAAGTGAAGGAGGGGGATAAGATCGCAGGTTTTACGAATCAAGTCGCCTGGATTTCACGTAATCAATTATCTAAGATTACGTCAAAATCCATTAATCCAATCTGAGTTCCGATAAGGTTCCATCACATCGAAGATCATGAAACAGAAAATAAATGCAATAGATTCTGAATTAATTGAAAAGGAAGAAGGATGAAGAATTTAGAACAGTACCTGTATATCAGCTTTGATGCAAATCTTTCGTTTCTCTCTCTAGATTCCTTCAAACTCTCTCTCTCTCTCTATATATATATATATATGTATCTATAATCTATATCCTTATCTTCTTCTTCTTCTTTGAGTTGCTTGGCGAACGCGGCAATCCTGGTTCTCTGCACTTTGGTGTGGAAGCCAAAGGGAAAACATTTCCTCTTTTATAGCGGACGGTTTTATTAACTTTATATGTCCAATTACCAAAATGCCCTTGCTTTTTCTTTATAATTGCCACTTCTATCACACTAGATGTCTCTATGGGTTGGAGTTGAGATGACGATATTACCCCCCTTTTGACAAACCACGTATCAAAAAAGGAATTTTAAAATTGAGATAAATCTTAAAACTCAAAAAAGGAAAATAAGTATTATTAAACACCCAATTTTTTAATATTAATTATATTATTAAAATACTATAACGGTACTCGCGCAATGTATCGAGATAAATCTCTATTTTAACATTTAGTTTTTATTATGTCCCTATCGATATAATACGATTTTATGTGTTTTTGAGAAAGCGATAATATTTTTTTTATTTTTGAATGACATATAAATTTGAAGATAGTATAAAAAATTAAAAAAAATCGATATTAGTATCAAATTAACTATTTAATAGTTCTCGTTTTTTTGGTGTAACTTTTTTAATTCAATTTTTTATTATAAGTTAATTTAGACTTAGGGGGTGTTTGGGATTGCTTATTTAAAACAACTTATGCTTTTTTGTAAAAGTGATTATTAACTTATATGGTATCAAACTGGAGTTTTGTAAAAAGTGTTTGGATTAGCTTACAGCGGTACCAAACTGCAATAAGTTGATAAATTGTTTTTTAGTGTTTGGCAAATTTTGCTTATATCTGTAAAATGACCAAAAAGGACAGAGAGAAGATTGATGTTGTTATATGGAGAAGGGAGAAGATTGAGATCRATGTTATCTGGAGGAAAAAAGATAGGTATAAAGGGTAATAGGGTTAAAATGGTAAACTGGTAATAAGCAGTTTTCATAAGTCAGGACGGATTAACTTATCAAAAATTGTTTATTACCGGTTTGGCACCGGTATAAGCAGTTTTCATTTTTCTTATCCAAACACTAGGTATTACTTATCACCGGTGCCAGACTGAAATAAGTAAATAAGCAGATAAAATAAGCAATCCCAAACACCCCCTTAGTAACAAAGTAATTTATTTTTTGTTTAATAATATAATTTTTATAAATATAATAATTAAACATTCTGTTAGAATCAATGATTATCTTAATTATATTTTAGATTTTCTATATTCACAATATATGTTTATCCTGCATTTGATTATGTTTATATGTAGTTAGTTACACGAATTTAAAAATTGAGCTTTAATAAGTTGTACTTATGCAAAATTACTTGTAATCTTGAATTTTAAATAATATGCATCAATAAACATTACCTCATGCATAAAAAATGGTTTTTAAGAGTTTTTGTCAAATGTTTTATAATATACTATAGATATGATATAATTACCTACCAAACATTTTGTAAATAATAATTTCATGCTTCTCTTTTATTTAAAATAAAGGTAGGTTTATTAGATTATTATATGTAACTTATAGATAAAAAGTAAATGAAATGTTCGTTCATTTAGTGATATGTTTTTATTTTAAACTAGAAGCGTACTCGCGCAATGCAGCGAGATACATCATGATTTTAATATTTCATTTTCCTCTTTATCTCAGTCGATATTATAATATGGCTTTATGTGATTTTGAGAAAGCGATAATGTTTTTATTTTTGAATAAAATATATGTTTGAAGATATCATAAAAATTTGACAAAAATATATCGATATTAGTA